AGAAGAGACCCAATGGCCAGGCCACCGGACCAGAGAAGAAGGGGAGCCCAGCCGCCGCCGCTCCGTCGCATACCCCTAGATCTCAGCGCCCCTCCCTTCCCAGATTAGATGACTGTAATCTACCCACTTCCTCTGAGCGCAACCACCGTGCTCCAGCCTTAAGTTAAAACTGTTATAATGTGTTCTGCATTTCCAGACATACCTTTACTTGCTTGACGAGAGGAACAGGAACGATAAATTCACCCACGTCCTGATCTCCGATTGTCCTTGACAGGCACAAACCCCCAGGCCAGCATCTAAGGGGGCCAATCTGGAGGTGAAGAAAAGCATGCATTAGTAAAGCAAATGAAAAGAATATGAAAACTAGAAAAAACACATGCAAAATGTATCAATGAAAAAAAAACAATGTCCCTCATCTTACACCCTCCACCTATATTGGGCACTTCCTCCTGTTCCACTCCTAACACGAATGCACGATTGGGTACCATGTCTCTTGCATAAACTAATATGTTATATGCCGTTAAAACTCTAAAAATCCAATCAAGGTTTTAAAAATTGGCATTTAACAGCTGTGTAGCAAACACTTTGGATCAAGTTCAAAAGCAAATTCAATACTAGGGAGCACATTTAACATGAAACAAAAAAGTTAACATTAGAGGGCAACATACAATTAACATATGCAGCTAAAATGCTACTTCCTCCGGTCCTAATTACTGTCGCGACACCCAACTCCGATGAGCAAGCACACCCGCGACGATTAAAAAGGGCCGGGGGGAGTAGATATATCTGTGGCTAATGTTAATCAATGTCACCAAAGACTGCATAAATTTTTCAGTACTGAAGAACAGGTTAAAGGATAATATGTCTCCTAACAGTCACCATAAATACTGCAAATTTCCAAGTCGAGTACGAGTATCTCATAAACTGAAGCAACAGAAATGGCAACAATGAACCTTGATGCAAGAAAATTAACTTGAATGGCAAAATAAGCAAAGTTGAAACCTCAGCACCACCAACAACATTTAGCCTTCCAACATCACCTCCAGCTTCTGTTACACGATCAACCCTGCACATCAAAATCAAGTGGCAACAGATAAGTTTTTGCCATGAGAAGTGAGAAGGCTTATATCAGGAGAACAATCTTACTCCTCTTTACTGGCATCGAAACGATGATCCGAAGATAACTGATAAATTGAACCTTCAGCTTCTAATACACAACGCGAATCACCAACAGATGCAACAGTAACAACCAATCCATCTATTATGACAAATGTCACTGTTGTTCCTGAAGAGCGTGCTGTAAAGAAAGAAAGTGATATCAGTAGGACATTTAATTTAGGTTGATGCTAGTAATGTTTGAACAAGTTATTCCAAATGTTTCACAAATGTATGTCATTAGAGACCAAAGAACAGGAATAAACAAGATCCATGCCAGCATATGGAAGATTCTAATGACCGATCAAAAGATCTCTTTTTGCTGGCTCTGATGACAGATAAATCTCCTTTTTATAAGATAACTCAGAATACTGGAGGATTAGTGAAAATTGCTTTAATTATCACTTGACGCACCTACTGTTTGGAAATCTTTATCGGTTTTGACAAATGCTGCAACCATCGCCCTTGGAAGCGCAGCAAGCCAGTCCTCCCTGTTGAGATCAGCAGGGACTGCACCCAAGATGTTGTTCAAGAGATTCTCCTTTGTATAAATAGCGGCTCCATTCCCATTGTGCCCATCAAACAGCTGCAATAAAACCACCGCGCTGAGAGGCTCTGAACAATTGCTTCTAGTTGATTATTCATCAAAATTATTGCCTCCAAAATTTCTTCAAAAAAGTCTAAAATGTGGAACTACAGCAAATTAAGATACTTTGTGCTATTTTTTCAAAAAAAAGATACTTTGTGCTATAGCCAGCAAGTCCAGCATTACATAATTCAATTGGACACATGCATTCATTCATTGTTGACGATAAATTAACCTTAATTTCATTGTGAAACTAGTACTCCCTCCGTTCCTAAATACTCCCTCCGTTCCTAAATACTCCCTCCATCCGAAAAAGCTTTTTCGGACGGAGGGAGTATTTGTCTTTCTAAAGATTTCAACAAATGACTACATACGGAGCAAAATGAGTGAATCTACGCTCTAAAATATGTCTATATACATCCGTATGTGGTAGTACATTTGAAATCTCTAAAAAAAACAAATACGTATTTAGGAACAGAGGGAATATCTGTTATGCACACATAAACCATATATAGAGTCAGCATCCCAATCTCCAAACGAATTCAAAGCTTCCCTCCAAACGAATTCCAGAATCCAGAATTCTCCAACAACCGAGCATAAACAAAATCGAGCAAGCCTCACAATTCACGCACGCACGCACGCACGCATCCAACCCGATCCACGTGAACTTAGAATTATTGAGCACCAACGTAACGTATCCACGTGACGCACGGCGCTGCCAGATCGGGCACGCACGAAATGCGATTGTAAGGGTGTGGGGCGCTTACGCCGAAGGCAGAGAAGGAGGATGGCGGGAAGCCGGGGAGACGCTCGCAGTCGGGCTTGAGGAAGACAAAATCCTCGCCCTTCTTGGCTTGGCTGAAGAGGCCGTGCTGGAGCTCCGGGCGCTCGGCGGCGGTCCTCTCGCTGACCACCTCCCGCCGCAGAAGCACGGCGAGCGGCACGGCCGAGCCCCCAGCCGTGCTGCCGCCGCCGCCCACGGAGCCCTGCACCGACCTCGACCGCGTGGACATCCCCCTGCCCTGCGACCACCGCCGCGCCGATCCGCTATAGAGGCGCGGTCCCCAATTCGTCCCGTCTCACCCGTATTGGTGAGGGGCTTTTTTGGGGGGAGAGAGAGAGAGGAGGTGAGGAAGGAAGGGAGGAGAGGTCACATGGGTACAGAACGCGGAAATCCAGCCCGCCACGCGCATTCGACATTTTTCGGCAAAAGTTGGCAATGGACGACGAGGGCCATGTTCGGACTTCGGATTAGGGTTATTAGGGTGGCGTTTGGTTCATGGGCAAGGTTAAGTTGGCTAAGGATATCCTCAACCACTTGGTTGGGGATAGTCAATTTTCGTTGTTTGGTTGGGAGAGATGGGGTAGGTTGGACAACCACATTTTATTGTTTGGATAAGGATAAGAAGTGGCTAGCTAGGGGGTAGCAGCAGTTTCAATACAACGTTGATTTTGTCAATTTCATAGTTCAAATCAGACAAGTTGCAACTACTCACATAGTCCAACTGTTAATTACGTTATGGATATTGAGTCCCTCTGTAAACAAGCAGAACTGGAGAAGCGAACAAGTTGCAGTTCAGAGAGAGAAGAAAATCAAGGAGAGGGATGAAAAATAGCTGCAGTTCATTCGCAGTTTATGGAGAAACAAATGGAACACATTAAAGGGCAGAATTTCAAAGAGGGTAATCGGAGCATGGGGAATAGTGCACTTGGATATGAGGCGAGATAGGACATGGGCGAACCGCCCAAGCAGTCGTTCCCGCTGCATGCCCCATCGGCCCAGCCGCCGTCGCCGCTGCTATGCGCCCGAGCTGTAGCCTCCACACTGCCAGACGCCCAGGCTGCCGCCACCTTGCCACGCGTGGGACAGGCAAGAGAGCCCAGATAGGCAAGGAGAAGGGGAGAGGGCAAGGACTACCGCCTTTGTGCTTCTCCGGCCGGCGCCGGCGCCGGCCGCCGCCGCCAGCCGTGATCGAGAAAGTGGGGAGAGCAGGGGTGTTCAGAGATGGGTTTCGTTGGGGAGAGGCGATTCAGCTGAAAAAAAAACGTTTCGCGTGCGAAGCGAGCGCGCATGGCTGCCCTCATCCGGCATATTTCGGCGACTCTGGTTAACCAGCTTTTAGAGGAATACTCTCAGCATCTTGGCTATCCCTATCCTTTGCTGCCTACAAACCAAACGAGTGACATCCTTCAAAAAATTGGTTATCCCCAACCCACCTAGGGATAGCCATTGAACCAAACGCCACCTAGAGCAACCCCGCAAAACGCACAGACCCGTAAAATTTCGATGAGTATATAGGCTCGGCCCAATTTTTCGGGCAGAACAGAGCCCGCATACTCGTCCGGCCCGTAAAATAATTTGCCGCAACTTGCAAACCGCACGCCTCGCCCACTATAACTGCGGTTCCGCGACTCTTTTATGGGTCCAAACCCTATCCTTCGCCGCCGCCGAGCCCGATTCCCCTTCTCCCCTCTTCACATTTCTCGCCGTCGGCGACCACTCGCCCCGCCTCCAGCCACCATGTGGGGCCGAATGTGGAGCTCCGGATGCGGCTCCGGCAGTAGATCCGGCGGCAGAAGGGACCCGGAGCGCGAGCGACGCGTCCGGTCCGACGGCGCGTGGAAGCGCGGCACCCGGAAACGAGACCGAAGAGTACGACCACCGGTGCGCATCCCTCTCCTCCGCAAGGTCGTCGTTCGCCGGGAGCTCTTCGTCCTCCGACGCGGGCTTCCTCCCCATGAAGAGGGAGTGGTTGGAGGACAAGGAGGAGCTGGTGCCGTTCGCCTTCGTCCCCGTGAAGGAGAAGCCCGCTCCGCTCGGCCGCCGCGGAGTCGTCGGGCCCGAGGACTATGTCGCGGACGTCGACGCCGTTGCGGGCCCCCATCACCGAGCGGAGCATGCGCGAGGAGGAGGAGCGTCGGCGCCACGCTGAGGAGCTCGAAGACCTCGAGTGGCGGCAGGCGGTCGCCGCCAACGAGAAGGCCGAGGAGTGGCGCCACATCCGCGCGGAGCAGGTGGTGAGGTACGTCGACCTGTGCAGCTCCGGCGAGAGGATTGAGCGTCGCTCGGCCTCCACGGTGTCGTCGTCACCGCCGTCAGATCAGACCCCCTCTAGTACTAGTTAAAGTAGCATGTAGTATGATCTATGCTTGTATGAACTATGTAGTATGTGATGTGATGAACTATGTTTGTGCAATTTCTCCCACGAAAGTGTTTTTTCAAATTATGCAGGTTTAGATGCGGTATTTGTTCTGCCGCGCTAGTTTTCGACCAGCAAACGCGATCTTTGTGAAACCGCAAACGCGTTTTGCGGGTCAAGTTTTTGCGGGGTCTGCTAGAGTTGCTCTTAGAGCAACTCCAACGCGGCCACGCGTGAACATCGTCCCAACGCTGTCAATTCAAACCGAAAACTAGTGCGCTCGTGTCTGGCGTATTTTTAGCCCATATTTGCATCTGATTTCTGTCCACACGACACGAGGTATATGCATCGCTTTTCGCTCGGTGTCCGCCACGGCCCCACCTGTCAGCCGCCCAACCACTACCGCGGCCGTAGTCGATGCGACCACCTAACTCGGGCCCACACGGCAGCATCTCGAAGTTCCAAGTTTACATCTAATGCAGGCGTGTGGGACGAGGGGGGCTCATCCACTTCTCCTCCCCGTTCATATATGGCCACACTCACTCCCTTCCCGGCGACAGCAAAACCCTAGGTTGCCATGGGTTTCTTCGGCAAGGGCAAGAGCAAGCTCGATGTCGGCGGAGGCTCATCCCGCATGCCGCCGCTAGTGCCACCGTCACGTGCCTCCGAGTTGGAGCCACGTGCGGCAAGGAGGTGCCGATCACGGGACCGGCTTGACATCCCAGTGTACCGCACGTGTTGTGATAGAGGCAAAGGTGTCCCGATGTTTCGATGAGATGGTGGCTATCATTTTCTGTGGGAGTCGACCTTGGCGATCCGACTACGAGCGTGGGAGACGTCGCGCCTTAGCAATCGCTAAACCAACTTCCGAGGGTTATTGACCACGCCGGAGCACGATCAACCTGACCACGAGGGCCTGTTTCCTGCAAGCAAACGAAGAACAAGCAAGAAACTAAGATTGCAATCGGGATATTGCGAATATAAGAGGAAAGCTTTATTAATGAAGGTGGGGTTCTGTAACGCCTTGGTCTGGTCGTTGAACACAAACGAAGTACGCGAAGTTGCAGCTATGGCGAACTTTTGATCTAAACAAAACCCAAAGTCTAAACGGTGCCCTAAGGGCTGTATATATGGAGGAAGAGGGGGTAATTTCGTGGCCCTTGGGGAAGGGGTCCGGAACCAACCCTATCTCTTATTTCCCCACACATACAGACTCTAAAAACAGCCTATACTTATGTATTTCGAAATTACATGGGCCTGACCCAATAATAAGGTGACGCGGCACCTAGAATAGCCTCTGGACGAAATTTATGAAGTGGCATCTTGTATATTTCGTCCAAGGCTTCATGCACTCATTATGGTGGCTTCAAAGTCCTGAAATCATCACTTGTAACTCTGTTCTTGTTCCCCTTGCGCGTGCCATCAACTCCATACTTGTTCGTGCTCCAATGTTCATCCCTCTTATCCATGCCAGGCCCTTCATTTGTAAGCAAAACAAATGTATCCAATTTAGGCAGCATCATATTCTCGTGAACATTAGAATCATTACCAAGAAGCGAAAGTACCTGATAATTTAACTGGCATGCGCGAGCTCTAGTAATTGGTCCAGTATATGTAGTAGTAGGGGCTGTGGGTGTAACAATGGTATTGATGTCCTCATCATCCTCCCCTTCTTGAAATGAAGTCGTCCTCGACGGAAGCTCATCTTCCTCACCCAAATAAGGCTTCAAATCTGCAATGTTAAAAGTGGGACTAACCCCAAAATCTGCAGGCAGCTCTAGTTTATATGCATTATCATTTATTTTCTCTAACACCTTAAATGGACTATCAGCACGTGGCATTAGCTTTGATTTGCGCAAATTAGGAAACCTATCCTTACGCAAATGTAACCAAATAAGATCTCCAGGTGCAAAGACAACATGTTTTCTACCCTTATCTCCAGCAAGTTTATATTTAGAATTCATACGCTCAATGTTGTCCTTAGTAAACTCATGCATTTTTAAGATCAATTCAGCACGTTGTTTAGCATCGAAATTAACCTTCTCCGAAGATGGAAGAGGCAACAAATCAATGGGTGCACGAGGTAGGAAACCATACACAATTTCAAAAGGGCACATCTTAGTAGTAGAATGCAATGAACGATTATAAGCAAATTCAATATGAGGCAAGCATTCTTCCCACATTTTCTTATTATTCTTTAAAACAGCCCTAAGCATAGTAGACAATGTTCTATTGACTACTTCAGTTTGTCCATCAGTTTGGGGGTGACAAGTAGTACAAAAAAGCAGTTTAGTCCCCAACTTATCCCATAAACATCTCCAAAAGTGGCTACGAAATTTAGTATCACGGTCTGAAACAATAGTATTTGGCACACCATGCAAGCGAATAATTTCACGAAAGAACAAATCAGCAACATTAACAGCATCATCGCTTTTATGACATGGTATAAAGTGTGCCATTTTCGAGAATCTATCCACGACAACAAATATGCTATCCCTCCCCTTCTTTGTTCGAGGTAAACCTAAAACAAAGTCCATAGATATATCCTCCCAAGGAACACTAGGTACATGCAAAGGCATATATAAACCATGAGGATTGAGTCGTGACTTAGCTTTTTCACATGTAGTGCAGCGAGTAACAAAACGCTCAACATCCCGTCTCATCTTTGGCCAAAATAAATGTGTAGCAAGTATATCCTCTGTCTTCTTCACGCCAAAGTGTCCCATTAGTCCTCCTCCATGCGCCTCCTGCAACAACAAGAGACGAACGGAGCTAGCTGGAATGCATAGCTTGTTAGCACAAAACACAAATCCATCGTTAACGACGAACTTGTTCCATGTTCTACCTTCTTTACAATTCTGCAATACATCTTT